AAAATAGCAGTGGAAGGAGGAGCAGCACCATCCCACCACTGTACCTTGGATCACTGGTGTCCTCCCAGCAATGCAGAATCAGTAGGATGGGGAGGGAGGGATGGTCCCCTTGCAGGACAACATGGCCTTTCTGCTCTCTGGCCTAGAAGAGGGGAGGTGGCCTAGTGGAGGTAAGAAAAATGATCACCGTATTTGCGTTCTCCACACGCAGAAATTCAAACTTTTAGGTATTCCAGAATTTAAGGAAAGATGAGATGGAACTTCGGACCAGGTGCTAAGAATTTACCTGGACACACAAACTGCACTCATTTAACTGAAACCGCTCTGAAAAGTTTAGTTTAAACCTCGGTGTGCCCCTGTGGGAACACCTTTCCACCAACAGAAAATGAACAACATCAATTACAAGCAAAAAATGAGTCAAAAGAAACCACATTTCAACTGATTTAAGAATATCCTCACAGTCATACCAGCCACCTGGCCAAATGAAGAGTCAAACTTACAGTTCAGCTGGGGCAAACAAGCACATAAACTGGCTGGTGAGAAGGTCCACGCTGCCCAGAGACACGTATATTTCTTATGATGGACTTGGGCAGGAGATAACATTTTACACATGACTGAAGCCCATGTCCCACCAAACTACAAACTACCACAGCATGGTTGTTCCCTTCCCAGCTGCAGAGGTGCCCAGAAGAATTTAAGTCCGGTTCCTGCAGACCTCTATGGAACTGAGGGCTCTGTCATGGTAAGATCCAGACGAGTGTTTACACAAGAAGCTCCTAGTGTCAATTGGACAAGACAAGGCACACTTGGAAATTCCATCTTACAGATTAGGGAAAAAAAAAAAAACCCACAGAAATTTAAAAGTCTGTTCTAAACCTCATGAGAAACTTGCAGGTGGTTTGATGGAGAACACGGGTCTCACAAGTGGTGACAGGACCGCATTGATCTAAGGCGCTCTCCTGATGACCAGCACACGCCTCTTACCTGTGAAATGTTTCATAAAAAGACTGAAGCTGCAGGAAAAACTTTCCTTCTCTAATGAGAACAAGGCTAGCAGGCCAAGGGTCGTTCCACACTTCATGGTGAGACACATCCACACAAAGCACCTCAGGTCCAAGAAGAGCGCACCACATCTATAAACTGTCACACTTACTCCATCCGTTGGCTGATCTCCCGCACATGCCTCCAGTTCTGGGATTAGCAAAACATAAAGCCCAAGAAGGGCACAAATATCTGCACCCTGCTATGTGCAGTTGTAGCTCACTGCACACTGGATAGACCAGGCAATGAAACACTGCAGCCTTCCTGCTGCTCACAGTTCCTCTCCCCAGGACCAGGTGAATGAAATCTTCCCATTCCTCCTCCTTCCCACCCAGAGGCGACACCATTCTGGGGTCTTCTTAATTTGAAACCCAGAACTAACTGACAACTTTGGAGCCACCCAGGGGAGCCACAGTTCACATTTTCAAGGAGATGTAAACACTGAAGTTGCTCCATCACCACTCTGATTCTCAGAGCAAACAAATATTAACAAGATAAACAAAAGAATGAGAAATCCCATGCACCAAGACTGTGGCTGTAATATTGCCTTGGGGATGAGCTGAAGGGAATGCCAAGCTGAAGATCCACAGCCTGGAAAAAGGAGGAAGAAGGAGAAACAGATTCAGATTGGGAAACAAAGGTGAGGTAAACACTGGACCACGTCTTGCTCTAGCTGGCCCTGGAAGGTGAGATGCCTCCATTCACAATAATAGATGAGAGGAGAACTTAGTTTTATACCACATGGATCCTTCAAAAGGTCCAATTGCTGATGAAAAGCAGAGCCATGGGATCTGCAGGCATCCTCCTTATTGATCAACTGCCCTAAGGTGATCCACCTCAACTCTCATGAAGGGGCTTTGCCCTGCGTTCGACTTCTGGACACTGCCCAGCTGACAGATACCAGCCCAGGTCAGAATTTGCCAGCACAAGCCAAGCATAGGGTATCCTGAGGGAAAGGGCTGAAAGGAACACATTTGTGAGAGTGAAACACTCTCCCTGTCACACAACTTCTGAATGCAGTCATTGTTAACCTGGTTTTCACTAAATGCCCATGCATTTACAGTCAAGCAGCTGAGGTGCCTCCTGCCCTTCTGTCCCTGCAGACCCATGGCTTGCTTTCTAATGCACATCAACTACCAGGGATCATGAAATTTTTTGGTTGGACTCGATGATCTCTAAGATCTTTTCAAGCCAAAATGATTCTATGATTCTATTTTGAGTGATGCCTGGGGCTTCAGGGCTTCTCAGAGACAAGGCTGCAGCTGGACTGCTCTAGTTGTTCCCACCATGCTCCAGCCAACCACCAGCACATTCTTCAGCTCTCTGGAAAGGAGCAGAGACAGCTTTCCTGATGAAGCATCCATGGTGACACCATGAGAGGGTTTCTCCCTCCGTCCAACACCAGGCCTTGCACATGCTGCTCCAACGGTACAACTCAATGCACAGGACTTCTCCAAAGAACAGGTTACCCACACACGGCCCCCAACCCCTCTCAGCTGCACCCTCCCTTCCAGAGAGGTTCACTCTTCCCAAACATATTAGCTGAACTGGTCCCAACAAAAATCTCATCCCATGCATTTCCGACAAGTAAAATTGCTGTGTCTTCCTGAGTGATTTTCCCCTTTCCCTGCTATCATCCACACCAACTCCCTATGCTGTTTTATCCTTGAGTTTCGTTAATCTACCATCTGCCTCCTCTTGTGGAGCCTTAAAGAAACAGAGGATGATGAAAAAGCATAGCACAGAACTTTGCTGCCACCAGACCCCTCTTCCCAATGTGAGACGTTGCTATTTATTACTAAATTTTGTTTATAGTTACGCAGACACTCTCCCACCCACATGGCAATGTTTCATTCAAGACAAGTTTGAATTCACTTCAAGAACAACATTTCAAAGGATCCCAAAGCATTTGTTTACAAACAGCGTGCATGGAGAATTCGCTTCTCCCACCAATGAACGTGGTCCCCTCCGAGACGGGAGAGGCAGCTGTTTCATAGCACCCAACGCTACTCAACAGCTGAGGGACAGGAAATGATCCACAGACAACTGATACTGCTGAGGAAATTTATGGAAAATGAGAGCTGAAGACTTCTATTTGCCAGGAGAGAAGGGGGAAGCTTCTGAGGACTAAAGCTCTCTAGTGGGTCAGGAAGAATTTAGGGAGGCAAAGAGTCCCAGACTGTGGTCAAAGGAGCGACTCCAAATTTCAAGCCTCATCTGAAAGTTGGCACTTCTCATACTAACGGGAACCTGGGCACTGGGATAATTTGGCTGAGGAGGGGACAGCACCCCCTGCTGAGGCAGCCACACCGATCTCATCCAAGCCCCAAACAGGCCCAGCCCTGTTCAGTGTGGGGTACGAGCCAAAATCACAGCCTAGGGAGGTATTTGGTGCAGTGAGAAGACACTGGGAAGACTATAAAACTGAAAACACTTTGTAGTCCCAGCTTCATACACAAGACCTACTGTAAACATTAAATCTTCAGAGGGGAGAAAAATATTCAGAGGAAGAGGATCATGGAACTCCTTCAAATACCAAAGTGCTAGGAATAGTAAAGATCACACACTGTGGAGGGCAAGAGAAGCTACATTCTCAAGATGGAAACAGAGCCCTCAAAAAGGCTAGAGGAGAGTCAGATGTATGAAGACTCTGGACAAAATGGAGACAAAGGGTCTTACAGAGAGCTGGCTTCATGTGGTGCTTGCTCCCCAGAACAGTTACCAGCTTTACACAGAGAGGAGAGAGCAGGGGCTCCCCAGAAGATCAGGCAGTACAACATCTAAACAAGGTTCAGAACGTATCTCCTCGCCTCCAAACAGCCACCCATGATGGGCGGAACCAAAGGGTATCACAAAAACAATGAAAATACCAGTGATGGAAGAGAGCTGCCCTGCAGGAGATGGGATGTGAGGCAGGCTGCACCCCTCTTCCATACAGATCCATCCCAGAGATCTAGCTCAGGACATCTCATCTTGAGGATGGGACATGTATGTGGGCACAGTGGGTCTTGCACACACCCCTTGCTCAGAGATGGGCAGCACGTGGAGAGCTCCCCTTCTCCATGGAGGCAGGAGAGCAGAAAGCTCATCCCTTCTACCCATTCTTCCCTAAGATGAGATGCAGAGGACAAAGCTGCCAAAATGGATGTCCCTCCCCAAAATGGATGGTAGGAGAACAAAACTGTCCCCAAATCCACTTCTTGGGGAGTGCTGATGGAGGCAGCACTGCCCCCACACTCCTCTGGTGGAGGGAACAAGGGGCACCTTCCCCAGGCAGGCACACTGGGAGATGCCCAGGCCCTATAGGTGGGGAATAACAATCCCGAGTAGGACACAAGGTGGGGGACACCATCCCTAGACACTCCCAAGATGGGAGATGCCCTCTCGGTCAAGGTGTTGGCCAAACATCCTGAGCACGGGGAGGGGGCGACCCTCAGATTGGGGGCAGTGGTCTCCTCCAAGGTATCTCTGCAGCACCAGAAAAGGGACATACCCCAGCTCCCTCACAGGGGAGTTATCAGCGTCCCCAGAGCTGATGAGGGCAGTGAGGACGGGGGGCTGTGCCCGGAGGCAGCACTCAGGGACCACCAGCCCCAGAGAATGTGCACGGGGGGGTATCACCACCAGCCTCCCCCAGGCGAGGTACTGGGGGCGCACGGAGGGTGTGTCCCCCGCAGATCGAACCCAAGGGGGGCTCCATCCCCACCCACTCCAAGGCAAGGAGCGGGGATGGGGGAGGGATGCGGGTCCCCCTCCCCGCGCCGGGCACCAGTCGGGCCGCCAGTCCCTCAGGGCACCTCCCCAGCCCGGGGGTCCCGGCCCCGCCGTCCCGCAGGGGGGAGCCAGCCCCGGCCGCAGCCCCGAGCGGGGCAGGTGTCCCCCCGCGGCCCCCGGCGAGGCCCACGGGGCCCGGGCTCCACGCGTGGCCCCGGGGGACCTGGGCCCGGGCCCGCGCTCACCCAAAGTCGTCGTCCATGGACTTGAAGTAGAACTTGTAGTTGGGGCGGTTGAGGAGGCCCTTGAAGTCGCCGAGGGTGACGCGCTCGGCCGGGATCGGCAGCTTCACCAGGTACGGCGTCTCCTGCTCGTCCAGGTGGTAAATGATCTTCGTCTCGGCCGCCGCCATGGCGCCCCTGCCCGGCCGCCAGGCCCCCGGCCGCCAGGCCCCCGCCCGCGCCTCCGCCGCCTCCTCCTCCGCCCCGGCGCGGCCCCCCGGCCCCGGCGCGGCCCCCGCCCGCGTCCCGGCCCGGCTGCGGCCTCCGCACGCCCGGGCCCCCTGCGCCCCTTGTTCTGCGGGGCCCAGCGCCGCCCGCCCGCACGGCGCAGGCTCGGCCCACGGCCCCGCCCCGCCCGCCGCCCCGGCCCCGCCGGAACCGGAACCGGCCCCGGGGCCCCGAGGGAGCGGGACCGGCACCCCGACCCGCCCCGAGGGAATGGGACCGTGCTCAGCGGGCACCCCGGGAGGGTCGGCCCAGACCGTCACTCTGCCCCAAGCCAGACCCTGCACCCATAGGAGGCCCAACCCCAGCTGGGACTGGCCCCCGTCCGCCCCTGCCCCTGCCGTGCCCCGGCTGGGTGCGTGGGCCCCGGGAGCGCGCACCGCTAGCGTGTGGGGGCGTTTGGGCTCGTCCTTTACATCCACGTCCTCTCACACACAGCCTGGCACTCCCCGCGCACCCACATTCCCAGTCCCAGCTGGCGTGTGCCTATATACCCCTCCTGGTCTCCCCACCCCCATTCAGCTTTCACCCCCTCTTGACACCCACTGAAGCTGCTTCACAACTTCACAAATGTTTTTCATGTCCGTACCGCAGCCCTCCCTTCCCATCTCTACAGCCCTGGTCCTTTATCACACATCTCAACCTTCCCCATGCTCCTCACACAGCTACAGGCCCCTTGAGTACAACTTACAGAACATGAGGTAATACCCTTCTCTACCCTGTCCTCCCATGTCCAGACCCATATGAACTCCCCATACTGTGTCTCTGATGGCCACCACACACAGGGACTACCTCCCACCCCAGTTCCTCTCCAGCTGGCTTCCCTCTGAACACCCTGTCACCATCCAACAACCATCCCTGGTAGTCAGGCATTGGACACCACACTGTCCCTTCAAGTTTCCCAGCCCCTCTTCCTCACCAAGTGGACTCCCCTCCTCTGCTCTTCATGAACGTTCTTCTCACGTACCATGGCCTCTTCAACTGTGCACCCCTTGGCTCTGGGATTTCTTCCTTATCCTGTCACCCGACCCCATCTTTCTCTTACTTACAGTCGTCACCGCTGTGATCCCAGCCCCCAGGACTTGCCTCTGTGTTGCAGCAGTCCCAGGCTGGCTGGTTTCCCCTCTGGACACCTCTGAAGCACCCAAGGGGCACCGAGGAACCGTCTCCATCAGCAGTTTCCCAGAGCTGTGGCTGAGAGCAAAGCTGGGCTGGATGGAGCTTTGGGAACACCCACCACCAGGAAGGGCAAGAACCGCCTCACACTGTCCTGGATTAGAAGGAACATATGCAGAGGAAGCACCACACCACGGGCCTGCACAAGGCATGAGACCAGAGCACCAGCCCTCAGCGCCAGACTCCCCTGCAGTAGGAAAAGGAGCCAGAGAGATTCTCTAGGGAACAGAGCCAAGCTCCTCCAGCTGGCAGACAAGCTGAGCTAAACAGTCTCCTCCTGCATTAAAGACTCCTACAGGCAGGCTAGCAATTACTTGGGCAGCACTGCTAGACTGGGTGAAGAACCTGACAGTAAACTGAAAAAAAAAAAAAAAAAAAATTCAAGGTAAGTCCTCAGGTAAGCAGGAGTTGTAAGTGGTGTAAGGCTCTCCCATGTTTCCATATCAGCTCTTAGAAAATTGTCACTTCCTCATGCCTGGAGCTCTGTGGTAGAAGTTGGTGGACCTGGAAAGAATCCAGGTCAGAATGGAAAAGTTTAGTTTAAGGTGCTTTTTCCTGTGTCAACCCTGACAGAGCTAATCTGAAAGTTGTTTTACAACACCTCCCTGACCCAAAAGCAGGCACAAGGTAAAGAATCCTAGTCAGCCCCCGGCAGGGATACTCCCTTGCCCACTTCCCAGCACAGCTGTGGATGCACCTTGGAGCCTGTATGGTACCTATTAGACACCTTTGTTACCAAAAGGGCAAGTTTCTGTAGTGCTGAGCCTCCCAAGGGAGCACATGCAGCCCAGGGGAGGGGTGCCACACCCCCTAAAGGGTGGTAGTAGATGAAATCTCATTGTTACAGCTGCCTTTTCATTTAAAACAGGCCAAGTCTTCAAATAGATTCAATGATTGATCGATTTAACTGCTCACAGATGCCTTGTGCTGTTTGACACACTGAATGATTTAAAGTTAAGAACACAGAGACAAAGAAATTACTTGTAGGGGATGATGCTGAGCACTCCAGGTCCACAAGGAAGTTTCTGAACTCCCTGTTGGCTTATTTTTGCAATTACTGCAATTTAAAAACTGTAGCATTGCTTCTCTTTACAGAGTAAACAGGCTCCAGACATTTTAGTGCACCTCAGAACAGCCCAAAGCAGAGGTAGATGTATTTAAGTTCCATCACTTACACCTTTAAGCAACACAAAACTATTATCTTCTTCTGAAAGGCTCACTACTGTTAACTGAAGTTATGGCTTTGCTACAGGAACCAGGTGACATCCATCCATCCATCCATCCATCCATCCATCCATCCATCCATCCATCCATCCATCCATCCATCCATCCATCCACCCATCTCAGATGGGAAGTCAGACATGTTGACTACTACAGCCTTATTGAAAAGTAAAAATACTTACTGCTAACTTTGCTCAAAAAGATAGGTAGCAATGCTTGCACATTCAGGGTTGCTCCCAAAGGCATTTCTTGTCTTCCAGCTAAAGAGAAGTCTTGACTGAAAGCAACAGAAAGCATCAAGCCCACCCTGTGCTTAAGCAATGCAATCAGCACTCCTTTCAGTACAACACTTACCTGCCCATAAGGATGCTGCACCATGCCAGAACTCCACCTTGGAGAGTATCAAGTGTCCTAATTTGTCTCCTTTTTTCTACTCTGTTCTTGGCACCTGTAGGACCACCCCACCACACACACCACTGAGGCCTGAAGGATAAGGATATACGGCCATAGAGGAACATTTTCCCCCCAGAGTAAGAAAGCAGCTCTCACCACAAATAAGTTGGAGCAAATGAGAAAGGAATGTGGAAAAAAACAAAAGTGGAATTGTTATTTGGTACAAAGAATCAAAAACTTCTGGCAAATCTGAGCTAATTACAGCATTACACATTAAATTTATTTTTAAGCTATCTTTACATTGTAAAAGGAAGAAAATATTTAAAATTACCAAGTATTGCAGCTGTTTTGTAAATGGTTTTATTAAGAGCCCTGTAGCTGTCCTTCCCCATCTCTGCCAGTTCCTACTCCCCAGCATCAGGAGGGCACAATGCAGTGCCTATCAGCCACCATTCCCACTAATTCTCAAAATGACAAATGATAACAGGTTTCACTGGATTTAAGGTTCATCTTTGCAACATAATCCTGTACAAAACCAAACCTCACCCATTTCAGGATTCTATGTTCAGAACTGTTCTCTAGTTGTAAACATGAGTTATCAATGAACACTTACACCAATTCAATGCCCTCCTGATGTCCCACCTGCCTACTGTGTGCTTAAAATCTCTTCAGGAGAAAGTAGCAATGAGTTATTTAGCTTACACATGAAGCCCTGCTCAGGCACATACCACAGCTGGAGACATAAAATCCCAAGGCAAAAAAAGCAAGCAAGCCATTAACACCAGGATAGGTTTTATTTGCTCCCTGAATTAAATATTGGCAGATACAGAAAATTCAGATACCAACTATTTCCCCAACATTTACAAGACTGAGTTTGCAATGTCAGAAAACAAGGACATTTATGCACAATCCTGGCAACTGGTAGTGTGAGTGCACAAGATTGCCCTGCCTGCACATCAGCTTTTAAGAGGCAGTATCCCTGGTCTCCAGCATCCAAAGCTGTCCCCTCACTGACAGTCGTGGCACCATGGAACAGCCAAGTAAATATATCCTGAGTGGGGAGCTCCAGTGCATTTCCCCCTGCAAAGGATTTATTCCATGCTCCTCCTGAAGGGGCAGAGGCAAGGTCAGCACATCCAACAAATAACCCACCTATGAAGACACGCTGATGCTCGCTGTGCCCTTTTTGCTCTGTTCTTTGAGAGCGGGGAAGAACACAGCACAGTGACACTTGAAGGAAGCTGTTCTTAAAGGCCTTACTGCTGCCCCATATTGTCTGTGCTGGCAACAAAGTGCCAGAGGCACGCTCACTCCCTGCTGCCTGCCGAGCTGCTCTGCAGCTGCAGAACTTCACAGTGGTTTTGCAGCACTTTTCCAGCTGTCTGAGGGAAGGGAAGTTTTCAAATAAATAAAAGGACATGAAGTAAGCAAGCTTGTATAACTGAAATCATGTGGATACACAGACCACGTGCTGTTGAAGGAAATACCATTCGCTCCTTTTCACACTGGAGCAGAATTTAGGAACTTGCATCCTCCTCAAAGCAGCTGGTGCAGTCAGTGCCCCCCAGAGCAAAACACAAGTGTAGTTGGTGCAGCGGGAGGAGTCAGGCACCTCTGCTCCCTTTTTATATAAAAAATAAAGAAACAGACACTTCTCTAAAACATGTCTGCTAAGCTGGGGTGCACAGAAGACGGATCACATGAAAGATGTGTCGACCCGCACAGCATTTCACTGGCCAGTGCACATCCACTGCTAACCAACCCCGCTGGGGGAGCTGACACACACCATCCCCGGTTCTACAGCAGGGGAAGCACATGGTTTTACCGACTCCACTGTGCAACCTCGTGTTAGATCCTAGCATGGCAGATGGCAAGAGATTTTCCCTTTTGGAAAGATCACAGAAGTGCCTTCTAGGCTGCAAAATGCCTTGGGCATCCTCATACAATTGCATCTTCTCCAGGCACAGGAACTCCTGAATCCCAGTCCTGCACTCCAGATCCTAATCCATGTGCTCTTACTCACCAACCTTGCCAGTGTCTCTTCAGCAGGAGTTCTCTTAGCTCCAGAAGCAACAATGACTCCAAATACCTTAGCTGTATGACCATTCTTCCACAACCCCAACGGTTAGATCT